CAGGGGACATCACCCCGATGATCTCTACGCCAATGGAATCCAGAATGCTCGACTCCATGGTGATTCAGACGATTATCCCGGGCGAGGAATTTCGTCGAGCAGGGGCCGGGTGTGGACCGCTTCGGATTTTGGCTATTGCATATGGGGGTTTGGGGGCATCGATCAGATTCAGAGCTCAAGTTATCTTTTCATTTCCATCTCTCTAACCCAACAGCTTTCAGCGTCTCTATAACTCTATTTGCTTGTGAGCATCCAGCGTTTACTTTTCCACTGGATCCCCCCCCCCCTTTTTAATTTTTTGCCTGAACTTTCTCCTAGACTTCAAACTTCGTGTTTGATTTCTTTTTTTTTTTGGGCACAGCCATTAACCTCTTACGCTAAACCCCTTTTTTTTTTTGGGGACTGATACGCAAAACCCAATTCTATTAGTACTGTGTTTGCTTTTTGATTCTCGAGACTTCTCTTCTTCATGCCAAATTCCCAAAACAGTACCTGACTTAGGGATCCATTTAATTGATGCTGCACAGGAAGCAATATTGTCGGGTGACAGCGGAAATCCACATATTCACCTTTTTCAAGGCTATTAACCTAATACTCTATGTATATAAAAATACTACTTTCGATTTTTAATATAAAAAGTTATTTAATTTTTAATTTGATTATAAATATAATATTTTAATTCATTTTATCTCTTATATTTATTTATGTTTTTTAAAGTAATTCTTATAATAGTTATACATGTTAAAGGTTTCCTAACTAATACATATGTCCAGTAAGGGTATTTTAGAAAAAATAAGACATGTTTGTTACAAATAACTAACTTAACAAACTTTCTTAATTTACTCAAATTAATCAACTAACTATTATATTAAGGATTGGAGATAGTCTATAACATGAGAGTTTTTATAAATAAGCATATAATCTGGTTTATTTAATTCAGAATATAAAAATAAATAATTCATTTAAAAATGAACTTTTATAGTCATTGTAAGCAGTTTACTTATCTTACAAGCACAACAATTGGACCAGGAAATATCATGAAGGACATTATTTTCTTCTTACCCTTATTTTCTTGAACAGGCGTTAAAGTTACTGGCCCTTTTCCTATATTTTTTATTTATTTCTGGTTGCTCATTGTTAATTGAGATTCTGTAATGTTGGTTGTTTTTCATCGGCGTCACCTGCCTATTTATGAAAGAAAGAAAAAATGAGGTTTTGATTCTTTTAATCAAAAGATTTGGGTGCAATTATCAAAACGATTTCTAATTAAAAAAATCACTTATATTAAGTTTTTTGTATCTATTATATCAAATATTTCAAGTACACCTGATCCTGTGTTAATTTTTTTCAAGTGAATTTATAGTTTAGTGATACTTTTTGAGTTGTAAATAATTACACTACAGGATAGATTTTACATTTAGAACCAGAGAAATAATATTTTAAAAATATGACACATGATCATATGTGATTGAAAAACTTGATATAAGGGGTATAAAAAATTTAACTCAACTGCTATGCTTAATTTAATTAAAACATAATGAACAAACGATTAATAATGAAGTGATGAATACATATCTAATAGAAAATTTATATATTTGTTATGTTAGCATTAAAAACCATTTATTCACTACTTCTCCAAGTAAAAATTTTAAATGATGCACATATAAAAAAACGCACGTGTGACTTTGCTCATAGATGAATTGTTTTTTAAAAAAAAATGTCATGGCCTGTTCAAGAACTGAGTTGGACGGACTCTTTTGCTAATTTAAACTTTCGTCCGATAAAAATTTAAAAAAAAAAATCAATGTATTTTTCCCCTAACAAAACTTTTGTGCGTTTCATAAAATAAAATGCTGCTTAATCATCTTAGTTAGACTGGATGACTGGATGTGCTCTATCCATGCAGGTCCTTTTATTTGAGAATTTCTATGCAGTACGATCTCTGAGATTTCATTTGTAGTATATAAATGAAATCTTATAATTAAAACAGGAAGTAGCATTATTTTTTTCCCATAATCAATTTTGTTTAACTTTGTATGCGTATGTATTTATATATTTCTACGTTCATCGTATCTCCGAGCTTTCGCCTACACTTCATCCGAACCATACATCCCCCCTGTTATGATCACACTTGACAATAAAAGCTTAACAGATGCAGCTGCAAGATAAATCTCAGAGGCTATCGTAACGAGTCTCAAAACTATAATACTAAGAGATCAAAAAAAGACGAGAAAGAAAATTACAGTAAAAAGATTTTTTTTTACAATAATTTTTTATTAGAGGTAATATTATTTGAATCTAATTTTTATTCTTATTCACAACAGAGAGAGGAATCTTTTTTTTGCTAAAGCATAGGTATCTTCCTATTAGAAACAATCATATTCGAAGTACTGTCAGGTACTAAATGTGGACACCTCTTCTACCAGAGATTCGAATATTGGTTTATCACGTTGTGGGGTATTAGTTTTTTATACTAGACCCAACCTCTGTCGGTAACAGGGAGAGGAATCTTCATAAACCATAATAATCTCCACTGTCCACAGGCCCCCATCTTCCTCCATCTAAATACCCAATAGGTTTGTTCCGTGTCAGTCCACTCGGCGTCTTATAGTCCATTAGTCTCAGGTTCACGGTCAGCCCATTCACTACGCCGCATCCCATTCTCATCGCTAGCCCGGGGCCTTTTGATTCTGGTCAGGATGATGCTCAAGACGAATTCGTTCGTTCTGTGAAAATTAAACCCCAGGACTACTAACAGTGTTAAGATCCAGTAAAAAGAGTTAGTCTCTCACAACGTGATTTGAATTTTCACTGAGATAAGTGTCTACATTTAGTACCCGACAATACCTCCAATAAGAAGATATCTATGTTTTAGCTAAAAAACAAAGAAAAAAAAAACCTGGGAGTCTTGCATGGAAATAATGCAGGGTCTACATTCTGCATGCTTACACGGATCTCAACCGAAGAATAAAAATGGCATAGCAGGTTGACGATGCACGAAGCATTGAAGCAAAGTTTTGATCAAAGAAGTGGGTTTCCAGGTATGAGTCGTTGCTGGGAGGGCTCAACCAAAAGAGCACCGTTGAAGAACTCAAGAACTGCTAATAATTTGGTCGCATTTCTGCTTATTAGTTTAGGGGGTGTTAGGTGATCACAAAAACACTCTTAAAAAGTGTTTTCACCGAGATAAAATTCCTCAGTCACTTTTAATCTTTCAAACACCATCTTAGCACTGCAGATCAGATAATGGGATTCGCAGGGGAATTCACACACGCACGCATCTCACAAGCCGTGCATCTACACACATACGTACGTACACACACACACATATATATTCATAAACGTTCATGTATGTATATTACACATACACAACGTTGTGGGTGAGGATGGGGATGGAGTGAGGTCGGGAGAGAGGGGTTGCCGACTCCGAATGGGGACTGAATAATGATTACGTTTACAGGTGAAGTGTTTTGATTGGTTGGGGTTGATGATGGTGGACCCTCAAATGCATTGGCGTCACAACGCACAAACGACAAGGTTCATCTTCCATGACCCATTTCGTGTAAACGACAAACCTCTCTTTCCTCTGTTTCATGTTTATCTTTCTAATCTCACGCAAAATCCTTCCCTGCGTAACATATTGATCTCCTCTTTTAGCCCAGACCGCGCGCGTTCGTTGCTTTCTCCTCCCTCATCGGTCATTATCATTCTGCTTTCGCTTTAGCATATCTGCAATTTTTCTTGTCCTCTTCCCCGACAATTTTTGGGGCGCTATCATCAGTTTTTTCAGAATCAGTTTTGGTGCTCATCACAGTCATATAATACTTTTCAAATCTCTATCTTTCAAATTTGACATCGATGGTCAAAATTTAAATTTTATATAAATATAATCTTTCAATCATAGTTTTTCAAAAAAAAAATGATTTTTTATTTAAAATTATGAGTTAAAAATTTTAAAATTAAACCATTAAAACTATATCTCAATAGGGTAAATTTCACTACCGGGAGAAATATCATGATACTAACTACTACAATGAACAAGCGAACTGATTCCTATGCTTTCCCCTCCCTCCTTGCTTTTTTAAGCACATAAATTAATAAATATTGTGACCGTGTCAAATTATTTTTCCAAGTGTTTTAATGTGTCCTTCATCTATTTTGACAAGTAATATTGCTTGAAACTTCTAAAATTAATTAATACTAAGGTATAATTGGAGAAATCATTACTTGTATTATCTTCAAAATATTAAAGTAGTGTTTAGTTTAAAAAATCGCAATTAAACAGGAACGTAGACGGTGCATGAAGTTTTTTTTTCCTGCCGACAAGTAGTACTCTACAATTTATAGTTTTTAAATAAAAATTGTTATAAGTTTAACATCAAATACTAGTACTAAATATTTAATAAATGATGCAGTTTATGTTCCAATAATATAAAATGATTATTTATTCATGTTTCAAAGATGTCCGCTGCGTGCAAGGGACCTAACTAGCTAAATATTCTCCAACTCGAAGCTTCTTTCGTCGATGAGAAGCCGCTCTGCTCTGTAAGTCTGTTTCCACACTTACCGGTTGAGTAGTTGTTGCCGTAGTATTTAAGTTACGGACTTATGAATAGCATTCGTATGTGATAAAAATAAACTAAAAAAAATGCTTAATTGATCTTTAAAAATTCTTCAGTTTATTTCAAGTTTTAACGTGATTGCAAATTAAAAAAAAAAAAAAGGATCACAAGGTATTCACTATTCAATATTTCCGACGCATCTAACACGAATAGCTAATAAAAAATGTTTTAAGTAATATTTCCGGTTCTAAGATTTTGTTTATAAGAATTTATCTATAGATGATAAACAAATTTTTACAATTAATACTAGGAGGCAGTACATAATAAAATGAACGAACCAAACTTAAATGGATTCTGTGTCATGCGAAAACGTGACGTGCCCGTCGTTCTCTCTTCATTTTCGATTTCGAGCTTCCCTCCCCGACTCCTAGCATCACTATGAAGAGAGTTGCCGGCACCGGCGCTGTAGCCGAAGCAGTCGCTGGAAACGTTGATATTCTGATGGAGATACTCCTGCGAGTGCCTGCCAAACCACTGCTCAAATTCAAATGCGTTTCGAAGCACTGGTTGACTCTCATCTCCGATCCACAATTCTGTCGCTCCCACACTCTTCGCCACCACATCCCTCACGCCGTCCCTAGCGCCCTCCTCCTCAACAATAATTACAGACCTTCTCCTCACTTCCAAATCGTCCCTCTCCGAACTTCCAACTCTTGTTCACCTGTTGTTCGCATTCCCTATTTTGATTACCTCAACGTTCCTCGCGTTACCATTCTTCAATCATGCAATGGGCTGCTTCTTTGTTCCTCTGGCTTCCTCATGCCGCTGGAAGAACACATGTCTGTACCCTGGGCCTCCTATTTCCCCTTCCCTACCTCTGCCGACTATTGTGCTTCTGTTGTGACCGACGATGACTGTGGCTTCAGGTATTTTGTCTGCAACCCCACCACCAAGCAGTTCGCTGTCGTTGCTTTGCCAGACCTGGAAGTTAGGAATAACTTGATAACGCTTAATTTGGCTTTTGACCCTTCAAGATCCCCGCACTATAAAGTCATTTCAATCTCATCGGGAATTTCAGGAGTTACCGACGACGGTCCTAGCCTTGAAATTCGAGTGTATGCTTCGGAGACTGATTCTTGGAGCGAACGTGGTGTTTGTTTCATTGCTCCCTTCAGTTTGGCCATTCATGCTGGTGTTTACTGCAACGGTGCCATTCACTGGTCCAGCCAAGGTGAGGATTCTGTGTATTTTGAGGTGGACAGCCAGTGCGTAAAAGCTCTGCCAATGCCACCAGTTAGCGATGATTGGGAATACTGGAATCTTGCGTATTTTGGGGAGTCCAGGGGTCATCTGCATATGATAGTGATGGAGCCTCATCAACGTGTAGTGTTTGATATTTTGGAGATTAATGAAGATTACTCTGGGTGGTCTGTGAGATACCATGTGGATCTCGCTCCGATGCAGAATTCATTCCCGGAGCTGATTTGGTATTTCAAGAAAAAGAATGAATCCTTTTCTATCTTGTGTGTTCTTCGTCAACCGAAGGAAGAGGACTCCTTGGTCGTGTTGCTCGTGGATGGCAGAGTCATGTCCTTTAATCTGGTGAATCATACTTCAAGGCAGCTCTGTGATTTAGAGCTCTGTGTCATGCCTGATGGTTGCGCTCCATTTCCTCATGAACGCAGTGAAGCATTTCAGTACTTTGAGAGCCTTTCCATTCTTGGACCACCAACCGCATGAGGAGTCACAAGCCTAAGTATTTATGGACTGTGTCATATCAAACATGTAACACGAGCCATGACCGCTTGTGGCAGGCTAAACAGGGGAGCTCTTTTTTCGCCTTAACTTTCATATAGAACTACCAAGCTGGTATGCGTCCTCTTAAGGGAGATGGCTTGGACATGTGTATATATTTGAAGGTCAGCTCTATTGCTCGAGGAAAAACCAATACATATCCGATTTGCTCAACTTAATAGTAATGCTCTGTTGAACCCCGTACCGTTCAGCTGAGCATGCAATGTCTCTCGGGGCCTTCTAGCTCCGTAATGTCGTTCAGGTGTTCCCAGTAAGTAGTGCTTCGTGTCGGTTAACGTCTAATGTTTTTCTTCAGCTTTAAAAGCTCACACAGGTCGGATGATTAACGCATGTAAGTTATCAATAAGACTTGATGATTTGTATACGATAAATGAAATTATAGTCGTGTCTAATACAGTGATTTAAGTTGTTCTGTTTGTAATATTTATTTTACTTTCTCTTTTATATATGTCTATCAAATTAAAACTTCGAAGCGAGTTGTCGGCCACAAAAATAAAGGGGGAAAAAAAGAAGTCGTCCAGATCTTTCGAAGCATGGGATGCTTTAGGAGGTACTGGGGAATGGACTTACTGGAAGCAGAGACATTGACATGGGGACACAGGACGCAGCATTAACATACACACAATGACCTGAGATTTATTTGAAATGTGCGTGGTTATTCAACGCGAATATCCAGTACGCGTCGAACATGAACTCAGCTCCTCTTTCAAAGTATCCATACTTCACAGATGAAATTGTATGACTGAGCAATAAAACGATCGGCTCTTGCACTCAAATATTTTTATTGATTCGTGAAATTAGACCTCTTCAATTGTGGTGCCTATGGCATGCCTTGTTCAGTGGAATAGGAGGATCAGAAAATGATCCGTCCACAATTTGTTCAAATACCCATTTATTAGCTGCCTGAGTGTAGTGCACCCCATCCCAATTGACCCAAACCGATGGATCCCCGCATGGTTTTCCCACTAACACCTCTTTCCCACGAACCTTTATCTTTCCTCCACACCCAATATTTTTATTGAAGTTGTACTTCCCACCATGCCCACAGCAAGCTCTCAGGGGTTCCATGAAACCTGCATTCATCAACCAAAACTCTCACCAAAGATCACTCTCTCACATGCATCAAACAAAACTTATACAGAAGAACTCACCATGCTTCTTTGCTTGACTGATGAGGGAGTACTTGACGGAGTAGACATCAACGTAGGTGATCGCAGCCAAGGGAAGTTTCTTTCTGAGTTGAAGCACAACTGCTTTCAATCGACGATTGAAATAACGAGCAACTTCGTTGTAAGGGATGGCACATCCGGCTCTATCCACCTCAGTTGTTTTCAGCGGACGAAGGTCCATTATGTATGGCAAACAACCAACTGGACCTGTATTGTGTATCCAGAACGACCTTCCTCCGTGATCATATACATACTAATCAAAAGCACCAAGTAACAGAGTTAGTTTCCTTGGTGAGAAGAGATAACATTAACCTTCCTCTTAACTTGTGTTCAAATTAGACTTTCTGTAATTGACTGCGTTCTGAACACCAAAAGCATAAATGTGAAAGCACAAGATTTTTTAATCTAGGACTTTTAGTTCACCTTCACGATGTTGTTGAACTGTGCTAAAACATCAGGAACATATGCTTTGACTTGATCAGTGGACATGTTATGGAAATAACCTGCCGTCAAGTCGTTCTGCCCAATATCGAAAGTGTATAATGCACGAGAAAAGTCTTGTGCTTTTGGCAGCAATGCTGTATATAATCCTCCTGAAGGAAAAAAATAAAAAAAATCCATGACATCCACGTCAAGGTAAATTCTCAAGTTAACACTGACCGTATCTTTAGTTGTGGTTAGGTTTTTTGGGAATGGATAGGGAAGAGAAAATGAGAGGCGTATAGACACAGCCAATACCTTTATTGCGAAAAGTTTGAGATCTGCGCTGGAAATCACTGAATTGAACGAACTGGACGTCCAGAGAGAAAGGACTGAACCCACCAACCTGATGAAGGGTTGTATTCTGGGGCCTGATGGTGGATCCCGCCGTGGCAAAGTTGGCTCCATGCGTAAAATTTGAGCCAACCGAATCAAGGAAAGCATTCAAATATGGTAGACCCAGCTCCTTAGCTTTTGACGACCAATTTTTTATTTAAAAAAAAAAACAAAAGATCTCTGTCACCAATAGTTAATTCTCACAGCTAGATGACTGCGAGTCTACAAAAGATCAGAGTAACTCTTCTAATAATTTGAGCGAAATATCTTGGTGCAATCTCATATCAGTGTTAGCCTCGTATCTGAAAAGTAGAATCTTCAGAAGAAAAGATCAAAACGAGACAAACTCGTACACCACGAAAACACTTTCAAAACTATGATTTTGAATCTATCCAAACAATTTTTAGAAACAAATGATATTTACCGCATCTGGCCATTACCTCTTATTTTGACTGATGCCGACACGATTTTACATTAATTACCAGAAATTCAGGGCCACAGGGCTTCATAAGGCGAAAATTCGTGTGTTTAGTGCTAAAAGATGATTGTAGAACGTGTCATGGATTAATTGGCACTAATTAGTCATCAGTTATGCATATAATTGAAATTTAAACCGGTCGATCACGTTAAGAATGGCGAAACTATTTTTAATAGGGGAAACAGATCGACCTTAAGTTACTATTAATTTTTTTTTTTGGCCGAAACCTGAAGTTATTGCATCACGCTATCCTTTTTAATGCTTTTTTGTCCTTATGCGTTAGTAGCAACAGCACAGACCCAATAGTCTAACAGAAGGGCAATAAAATAAAAATTAAACATAACATGTTTGTCGCCGCCTTGATATAATAAAAAACAATATTTTAAGCGATCTTTTCTCAAAATCGTCTACAGAAATCAGAAAATGACCACGCTGTTCTTCCAAGGCGGTAGAACTGTGGACTGATGTGTTCGCATGTAGTATCCATGACATGGACTGTTGCAAACACAACAAAATTGGGATCTGAATCTGAATAAATCGACTGAATAGGAGTCGGAGATTGACAGGGAGAGAGGAGAGAAAAAGGTGGAAGGTACCTATGAAATCAATGACAAGACGGCCGTCGCAGTAGCGTCCGGCAGGGTGGCGGAAGAAGGACTCGCCATGAGGAGGACGGGCTTGGCCGAAGGCAGCAGAGAGACCACCGGTGTCAGAATTGGAGTCTCCAAAGTTGAAGATGGCCGGAAAATCACAGTCCCTTGAAGCATCTAATAACAATGGCTCTGGATTCAGTACCACTGAGATGAAAAGCCACAAACACAGAGCACAACTTGGAATCAACCTCATATTGCTAGTTCCGGCGGCCAAGGTCTGGGAGAAAGGAGAAGAACGGAGGCTTGGGTGAGTTGAAGACAGCAAGTATGACTGTATCCAAAAGAAATAATAGAAAGCAAAAGGGGACCTTTATTGCGTATTGTATTATTTTATTTATAGAAATGTGTCAGAGAAGATTCAGAGAATCAGAGTCGGGCACCGCTATGAGCCCAAAAAAGGACAGCCTTCTTCCTATTTCAAGCTTTGTGGGTGATTACCTTCTATCCCCACGTCCGTGACCTCTGGACTCCTTTTGATATTATAAAAACATTAATATAATTAAATATGAATCCTAACAGTTTTAATTCGCTCACCGCAATGCATAATGCTTATCCGTGGTGATTAATGTCGTTTGATGCAAATGAATAATATGATGTGCTTACTACTTGATGCCCCGGAAACATTGCTTCGTGATTTAATCTTTTACCTGTGTAGGCTTCTTAATTTGCATGGCTGCCTGAAATTTTAAAATGAGAAAGTTAATTTTTTATTCTTATGATTTTAACTCAATTATAACTCTCTACAATGCAATTACACCTGTGTAGGTTACTGTAAACTCACTCTTTATAGTTTTGATTATTTAAAATTTAAGTTTCCAAGATCACGGCATACTTTAAATGGTTAAATTTGAGCTGTATAAATTAAAATGTAAAAACTGAGTTATGATTGAATTAAAGTTATTAGGACTTATTAAAATCAAATCGAATTGGCAAAATATAAACTCTGTCATAGTTGTTAGGTTAACCTCTTAAATTTTGTCGGGAGGATGAGAGTGATTAATAAAAAATTTTTCCCCCATAGATACGATACTAGAGAGCAGGGACCAGTCTGAGATATTTAATTTTAAAAAAGTATTTTTTATTTCCCGATATGTTTTTTTATATATTTATTTTATATTCCTAAGCTTCTAACTTTGTTTCTGATTTTTGGTTGATAACATTAGACTCAGTTGTGATGGCCCAAAAAAAAAAAAGAAAAACTCACTTGCGCGGGCCCAAAAACTCTTTTCTTAGGCATTACGCCCACAAATGCGTTAGGATCAAAAGCATCATCCAAGCGTAGGAGCGCCGAGAGGTACATGTTTTGTATAAAATACTAGTCGGCCAACTATTTGATTAATCCGAGGAAATTAAAAAGTTATTTAAGATAGTTATTTATAATAAATAAATATTATTTTTTTAAAATATTTTTGTTGATCGAATGTATTGATTAGAACTATCGTTATTATAAAGATTATCTTTTAAAAAAATGATAAATATAAGAGACAAAGTGAATTGGGGTCTTACATTTAGCATTAAAAAAAAGTCGAACTAACTCTTATATTAAGAACCGGAGATAGTATTAATTTTCTTACATAGTATCCTTAACTAATTTTAAAATATGTAAACTGATTAACCAGCTTTTCCAATTAATTTGTATGTAGAATAATTTTGAGATTTTGTCAAGAATAATTAATTTTAGGTAACTTCTTTAACTTATATAAAATAATTAATTAAAAATTATAAAATGAATCAGAGGAAGTACATGAAAACTCACCTCTTTACAAAAATTAATCCGGAGACAATATTATCCTGAATCAAACATACAGACAGAAAATGTAGAAAGGTGCAAATCAAAAATAATTTTGATTGCTTAAATTAAAATAATTAAGCAGTACTAGTACTACATAAATACCACCTCCGGTCCTTAATATAAGACCTTGTTTGATTTTTATTTTGGTCCTAAATATAAGACTCCAATCCATTTTGTCTCTCATATTTATGTAATTTTTTTAAAAAAATAGTCATTCTAATAATTCTAGTTTTAGCCAACACATTTGATTAGTAAGAATATTTTAGAAAAGACAATACCTATTTATTATAAATAAATAAATAAACTTATTTTTTTAATCTCTTTAAATTAATTAATTAATTCCTATAATTAGGATAGGAGGGAGCAGAATGCTGCTGACAGCCAAGAGGCGAGGCGAGGCGAGGCGAGGCGAGCAGCCCAGAAGCTTCTTCAGAATGAATGGGTCCCGCCGCTTACATTGCTATGCCACCCTCTGATCATACGACTAAAAATCCATCCAACGGTCAATTTTGACATGGTTGACCACAGCTCACATTTTCCCCTTGTTTACTCAACTTCACTCGCCAACTCCCTTATCCCTCCCGGCCCCGAGCCCTTATCCCTCTCTCCCTCGGAGCTCCTGGCGATGGCGACTGCCCTTAGAGCCCCCACCGCCTTTCGGCCGCCACTTCCACCTCTGTCTTCCACTTCTCATAAACCCTTATGCGTCTCCCTGAAACACGCCAGTAGTTTCAGACCCTTTTCTGTAGCCTCTCCGCAGTTGGGGAATACAGCATCGCAACGGGTGGTAAAGCTTGTGCCCTTTGCTTTCAATGGGGAAGCCGACACCGCTGAGGCTCAGGAAGTTCACGAACCAGAAGTCCTGGTGAGTCATTCTATGTATTCTTTTTTTTTTTGTTTATTATTAATATTAGTTCAATTTTGTTTTCGAGAGATGCTAAATTAATTACATTTTAATTATCATTCCTGTTAGTTCTGTTTTCGTATATTATGGCTGCCAAGTATGAGGGGGAAGTATATGTAGAGATGTAGTGGCTGCTAGATTATCAGTGTTTTGCGCTCAGTCCCTGTAATTTCTGAAGAATCAATACTTGAGTTATCCAGAAGATTTTTTTTTTGGGGGGGGGGGGGGTTGAGTGTCATGGCTGAATGCTGACGTGCAAACAATTCTGCGAGTCCCGATTATGTTATGCATTCACGTAGAGGAAAATGGGGATTGTTATACTAGAGTTGTCCAGGCTTTGAAATATGGATGGGAGCTGCTAGTGTAAAGAAGATAAATGAGAGATGCAATAAGGTAGCTAGGCAAAGAATTAAACTAATACAAGGCCAAAATTGTGTTGTTAGTATAAAAAATTGAACCAATCTATTGAGACGGGGAAGTTTCTTCGTTCCTTAAAGAGTAAAGGCCTCTTTTTGGTCAAAAAAGGGCCTCTACTTTTGTGATTCATTGATCGTGGAACTGAATAGCTGATGATGGTAAATTGCAATTCTTTTGGGTCCATTTAGATGGCTTACTAATGAAAGTCTTGATCCGTGCCATGAGGTAAATGATGGGTAAATTGCAGTTACTGAAACCAAAGGATGCAAACTGCACATCGATTGTAATCATAGTATTAAATAAATTACTTTCCACAAGCAGGAATAATGACTTGTGGATTCCTGGATACGTCTTCAATTATTTGACGCCAAATTTCATTTTTTCGGACCTCCTTTCAATAACGACTTAACTTAACTACTTGATAGGTTGGAAACTTTACAGCTTCCACTAAGGAGCAAGGATGATACTATTGTATTGGAAGTGTGTGTGTGTGTGTTTTTTTTTTTTTATCTGCAAAGCTCTGAGTGGAAATTGGCAATTGTTTTGGTGTTTTATAAAAGACCAAAAATCTGTAGTTCCTTGAAGTGCAAAAAGCCATAACATAAAAGTAGGAGTACATATCTTTTTCTTTTGTTTTTTGTTTGTTGTTTTTGGATGAATTAGTAGTACGTATCTACTTGTGGTATGAAGGTGTCGTCTCAAGTACTTTGATTCAATTATTTGTATTAATTCTAACGTTACATATCTACTGTGCTCAATGTTCCCCCCCTGATTTTTGGGTAGATTAAAAATTCCTGTATATTAGTGTTAGTAGGAGTAATTCTTCCATGAATTTGCTTCCATGTCTCTCATTCTCCTTTATGGATTTTTGAACAATAAAAATTTATTTTTTTGTGTCACCATTGTTGCCTGGGGTGCATATCTCTTGTTAGGGGGCACTTTTTATTATTAAAAAACGAAGTCATTTTTTTTATGCCACTTCTTTCTAGTAGTGTGCCACTTTCTTCCTTGCAATCATATCTCGAGCTGTATGCTATTTAATTTTTTGGAATTTTTTTTTTTGGGGTTGTTCCTTTTTTGTAGTTTTAGTGCCTCCCTGCCATTAGGAACATTAATTCTCACTGGATGAGTATCTATGATTGAGGTTCAGAATGTTAAAATATTCCTGATACAGGGAATAGAAGCATCCAGAAATTTGATTCCTGATCCTCTCTCAAATTGCTGGCAGTCTGATATGTTCATGTTACAGGATTCCTCAGATGGTGCTGCCGGTGCAGAGGATGATACAGGTGACAATGAAGTTATTGATGCTGAGGAAACACCCGATTCACCCCTTCTAACGTTATTTCAGTCTTACAAAGAAGCAGTAACTAATAATGATGAAACCAAAATTATTGAGTTGGAGTCATCGTTGAAATCCATTGAAGATGAGAAAAATGGTCTTGAACGAAAAGTCGCTTCTTTATCTGAAGAGCTATCAATAGAAAAAGAGCGGGTTCTGAGAATTAGTGCTGACTTTGACAATTTCCGCAAGAGGACCGAAAGAGAACGCCTTTCACTGGTTACAAATGCTGAAGGGGAAGTTGTGGAAAGTTTATTGCCAGTACTGGATAATTTTGAGAGAGCAAAAACTCAGATCAAGGTGGAGACAGAGGGAGAGGAAAAGATAAATAACAGCTACCAAAGCATATATAAACAGTTCATTGAAATTCTAACCTCGCTTGGAGTTGAACCTGTGGAGACAGTTGGAAAACCTTTTGATCCTATGGTAAGTTTACTCGACCCTTCTAGCTTATAGTGTTAAATGGAAAACCTATTTGACCTTCAACAAAAAAAAAAAGTTTTCAACGGTGATAATTATTTGGCCTTACTGCCTATAATTATTTCTTCTTCTGGTAGATCAGCCCAAGTATTTGTTAGCGCTTCATGGTGAGCTATAACCAAGTTTATCCCATGGTCTAAATACAACAATGTTCCTGTTGTTGAGGAGCAGCCTGTTCAATTATCTGCTACACAACATGATGATGATATTCATGTCGTCTTTTTTGATTTTATCACCCTAGAGTTGTTTGACTTAAACTAAATTTACACCTATCTGCTTGGGGTTATCCTCCAATGCATTCAGTCCGCACGGTATTTTTAAGCATGGTCCTTTTATGAATACAAAAGTTTTTAGATAATAGAAAAATATCCACCTTTTTCTTGTTTTTTGGGCCATATTGGGGTCATCTATGAC